ATTGAGGTGAGAAAATGACAAGGGTGTGTGTGCATTTTTCCAGATGGCAGAGTGAAGGATTACCCTCTGATGCAGAGTCCTGTGCAGATGACCGGCATCCTCCTGACTTATGTCATCTTCTCTGTGTACGTCGGCCCACGCATGATGGCCAACCGCAAGCCTTTCACCCTCAACAGACCAATGATCATCTACAACCTCAGCATGGTTTTGCTGAATGCCTACATAGTGTATGAGGTAAAAACAATATAAAAGACAGAAAAATTATGTGTTCAGTCAAATAAAAGGCATCAGCATGTAATGATGGCTAATTTGTTTTTATTTGTTTTTTTACAAATTCAGTTCATGATGTCTGGATGGGCCACCACCTTCACATGGAAATGTGACCTTATTGATCTCAGCACCAGCCCACAAGCTCTCAGGGTAAGTCAGCAAATCGGCATAGTAGCTTTGGCTCTAAACTTTGGCTGACTAGAATATAGTGTGCAAAAGTATCCAAGGAAAATGTTTTTGTGCTAATTGTATATCTATATTTAAAATTAAGAGGCTTCAAAATCTTAAGCACTGGATTTTAGAAGAATTTATGTAATACATATATTTGAAAATCCAAATTAAAAGATTTCAGGTTGTTTAAAAAAAAACTTTGAGTTCAACCTTTATTTCTACTCTTTGTTGGGGTTTGGCAGAGGAATAAAAACAGGTTAATAAAGATTCAACATTTAGAAAACGTATAAAGATGAGGAGAAGCACTGTAATTCAGGACTAATTGTTCTATGCAAATCCAAATAAACTGTATCTGCAGAAACTAAACATTGGTTTAAACTGCAGCCCAGTTGAATAAGAAGTATAATTAGATTTTTCAAACTGTTTCCAAAGTAAAACTAGTTAGTTAAAGCGTTAGTGTGGAAATATAATTGAATATGGGAAAACGGGTGAATGTTTGTTTAAAAAATAAAATAACACCTGAACTCTGAAAGTCCACAATAGCAACCATATGCGTCATTATGGTTGAATACTCCAAAAAGTATAGACATATGTTTTTGTTTCATTTCCATTTATTAAGTGAACAGTTTATACAAAATTAACCATAAATTAGCAGTTGTGTAAAATTAAAGGGCTTCTGTGTTGGGCAAACTCCCTAATGGTATACAGAGGGCTAATGATATTTCTGATTAGCAACAGTTCTGATATTTGACCAGACAAACATCTTCTTTCCTGCAGATGATCCGAGCAGCTTGGTTGTTTTACTTTTCAAAATTCATCGAGCTCCTCGACACCGTAAGGACATTTTAACACCTTTTTTCTTCGACATTCATGGAGTAAATATTTACGAGTGTAAAAAAAAAAAAAAGTAAATTTCCTTTTGTTTTCCAAGGTATTCTTTGTGCTGAGAAAGAAGCAAAGCCAGATCACTTTTCTGCATGTCTTCCATCACTCATTCATGCCCTGGTCATGGTGGTGGGGTGTTGCACTGACTCCTGGTGAGTGTTAAGGAACCAAAACATGCACTACACACTTGGGGCAACATTAGGTTAACCCATTGCAAGTTAATTTTGGATAACAAGAAGGGGTTTCCCTTCTATTAAACCCATCCTTGCTTTTGTTTCCTTTAAAGCTGGAGGAATGGGATCCTTCCATGCTATGGTGAACGCAGGGGTCCATGTCATCATGTACACCTACTACGGACTCTCTGCTGCAGGGCCTCGCTTCCAGAAGTATCTGTGGTGGAAGAAGCACATGACAGCCATCCAGCTGGTATGTTTCAGCTAAAAATAGATTTGTCACGTAAGAAACTAAAGGGTGAGCCAACGTTGATGTTCGTTTCCATTTTATTTTCCAGACCCAGTTTGTTCTGATCTCCGTTCACATCAGCCAGTATTATTTCATGGAGAAGTGCGACTACCAGATGCCACTCTGGATCCATCTGATCTGGATGTACGGCATCTTCTTCTTCCTCCTCTTCTCCAACTTCTGGGTGCAGGCTTACATTAAGGGCAACCGACTTCCTGTTGCAGACTATAAGCCAAACCAGAACGGCTCCACCAACGGACACATTGCAATGAATGGCAAACACCATGCAAACGGTCATGCTCACCCATATGAAAATGGTAACATAGTCATGGGGAAAGTGAAGGAAATTTAACTGACTCTGGGTGGGGGAAAGGAGACATGAGCGGTTAGTAGATATCACCACCTCAAATGTGCCACACATCTATATCTAGTAGCATATTTGAGTGCAGTAATTTAATATGCTACCTCTAAACTAGAGAATTTGTATATAATCTTATATTTTATTGAATTATCACCCCTGCGGGATATGATTGGCAAACCTGTTTTATGCCATTGATCTCTGAATGCAACACCCTGTATGTTGTTGCAGAAGGTGTTTACTGTGATGAACACTGAATGGAAAATTGGTGCTCATTTTGTCACTGATAGTATTCTTTAACTCAGGCTTGACCTGCAGCACTGTTCGGCTTAACGAGGCCCTTTTGTTGCTTGGGAGTATGGCAATGTTTCCACTAAACACAAGTATGTGTAAATATTACTATGAACTTCATGCATAAGTGTTTTTCATTGTAAATGTCAAATATTAAGGTTTTTTTTCTTTTTTATTTATCTTTTGAAATAAATCAAATATAAAGGTCTGTTTCATTTAGAAAGCAGTGATTATGTGCACTGAGTGAGCAACATGCCACATCTAATTTTTTATGAAGAACTATAGAATTATTATACTGTATATTACAGTATTGATGCATTTAATTTTGCCTTTTTGTGACGGTGACACATACACTGTTATACATGTCCTTCCATACATTCTTTCAAGACTCTGTATTGATCGATCTCTCAGTACACAGGGCATGACATCAATGAAGTTTTTTTTGTTTTAAAGCTTTAATGATTTGTGCAAACGGCTGTGAAAATAAATCTATCAATGTTTGTGTTTTGTTTTTTCAGTGCAGCTGTTACTGTCATAAAAATACAAAGTTCTACATATAACCTATTAACTTGTATGGAAATAAAAATATTCACTGAAGTGGGGTGAAAAAAATGTGTTTTTATTCATGACTAAAATTTTATGCATAATAAATCCAGGATGCATATGCGTTGTGCAATAGAACAGATGAGGGTCAAAATAATTTTAAATTGAAAATATTTAATCCCCAAAAGAACTCCAATCTAATATTTTTCAGGGTTGGATGTTGTAGATGGAAATGGGGATAATGATCTCTTCTAGTGAAGTCAGTGTTACGGGATCCTCGGGCTTAAAACATTCAGTAGGACATTTTGTAGATAGAATCCCACTTTGCACAATTTTCAGAAACTTCATAGCAGTCCCTGGATCATAATCATGCTTTTCTCCCGGTTTAGAGCTGCAAGTCACGGACTAATGCCAAATGAAAGATTAATAAGTTGCAATCTCCACAACAAATCTGCAGCATCTTTGCAACTAAAAGATTTAATAAAATACTTTTTTTTAACGATGCAATTTAAATATCTGCTTGTTGGAAACTTGTAAAACCTTTGATAGCAATACAATGTGATAGCACACTTAGGACAAGTATTAGAAAAAAAAAAAATGTAATATATTTTCGATTAGGCAGAATTTTAAGAACCGGAAAATTCAACTTCAAAATTTCAAGGTTAAAGTCTGAAATATTCACCTTTTAAGTTTCCGTAGGTGTCAATGCCACACTTGTTCACATTGTGCCAGCAGAGAAAGCACACAGGATACTGAAATAGTTGCCACAACCATGTTTGTGCATTTTTACTTAAGAGACACAAATAGGAACATAAAGAAAAAATTCAAGTCCTGAATTTACACACCAAAAAAAAAAAAGAAATTCCAATGGTACCACATTCTAGACTTAAACCTGAAAGCTTGTTTCTGGGCCTGTTAGTGATAGGATATTTTTGGAATCAGCTTATCTAAACAAACATCTGTAAATACGTTCATGTAATACAGCATAACATTTGAAAATAAATACGTAACCTGCACTAATCCATCTTGAAATCCTCATTCCACTTTGAGTTTCTGCAAACTGCTTTGATTGTTGCACCTTTACAAGTTGACAGTCTACAATAGGGATGCAAACTCCTAATCATGAGCAGATCAGAAAAAATGTCTAAACATTGGGTAGTGAATTATGGTCCTAAAGTCTTTAAAGCAACTTTAAGTTATCTACCTACAGATAGAGACAAAAGACTAGTCCAACCCTGTTCTTAAAGGGGCAGATGGTTATTCCACCTTACAAAAGTACAAGAAAAGACAATTCTAGTTATAGCTTTGAAAAGCCCTCATAACTTGATTTGCACATCCAAAAATAATTTAAGGCAACAAAATTATAAAACCTCCATTTAAAGAATTTTCCCATATGCATAGATTATTGCATGTCTATGTCCAAAGTGACATTGTAACCAAAATCCCACCCCCAAAGTGAAATGGCATTCAAATAAGTTGCCATGATCACCATTTAAACCTTTAGGTTCATTATGCCTCCACTTTGGAACGTTCTGTTGCACGGATTCACTGAGCCATCTAGTGGCAGATTAAATAATCATCCCCATGAAAGCTTTCTGGTTGAGCAAGTGTCATAAAGCAGGCATCCCAAACCTCGGTCCTTGAGGCCCGCTGTCCTGCAGGTTTTAGAGGTATCCTTGCTCCAGCACAGCTGATTTTAATTGAAAGCTGATTAAAAAAAACTTTTGGTCTACTGCAGTCATTAAAATCTGATGTTTTAGAGCAGGGAAACCTATAAAACCTGCAGGACAGCGGGCCTCGAGGACCGAGGTTGGGGATGCCTGTCATAAAAGGACACTTCAAAAAGGAGCTGACCCAAAACAGTCAAACACATTTCCCCCTTCAACCTTTCTTGTGCTCACTTGATAAGATGAACATGGATACTCCGCTATATTTTCAACTATAGGACCTAAAATGAAATGAAACTCCTAACCACAGCCACAACTGATCTTGAAAAATATGAACAGAACCACATCAGGTGCATGTCATAAATGCAATTTATTAAAATCCTGATACCAATAGTAGAGGGAACATGGTGATAAAACCAGTGCAAGCTATACATTTCTCAAATATTAGTTAAAATGAAAAAGAAAAAAAGCACACCTCTACCAGTTCTCTTAACAGACTAAAAAAAATTAAAACACATAACATTTCCAACAGTCAAAAGAACTGGATTGTAAGTTTTATTGCATTTTAAAAACATTTGCTTAGATAACATATGATAAATAATGTCAACGCTTTAGGAAACTATCTGATTGACTGATTAATGACGCTGGTGGCTGGTTTGGCCATCCTCTCCTTAGCCTTCTTCTTTGCAGGATCCATCTCAAAGGCCTTCCAGATTCGAATGGTTTCATCTGCAGCAACCGTTGCCATGGTTGAACAGTCTGGGCTTAAAACAAGATTGAGAACTCTGCCCTCATGACCTAAATAAAAAAATAAAATTAACGTCTTTGAGTGCATTTTCTCCACAGTCATTTGACATTTATTAATTTGTAATGATCCATGCAATAAACTCGTACCAACTGTCAAAGATCGAGCATAGCTCTTCTTGCATAATAAATCCAACCCAAGAAGAACTTCTCATGTACGTTAGGTCCAAACATTACAGCATATTCCCTGACAAATTTCCTAAACTGTCCCCACAAGGTAGGGCTTGATAAAAACATACAGAGATAGACTAGATAATACAGGTGCTGGTCATAAAATTAGAATATCATGAAAAAGTAGATTGATTTCAGTAATTCCATTTAAAAAGTGAAACTTGTATATTATATTCATACATTACATACAAACTCATATATTTCAGATGTTTATTTTGTTTAATTTTGATGATTACAAATGACAACAAATGAAAATCTCAAATTCATCATATCAGAAAATTAGAATATTGTGAAAAGGTTCAAAATTGATGGCCCGTGGTGCCACACTCTAATCAGCTAATTAACTCAAACCACCTGCAAAAGCCTTTAAATGGTCTTTCAGTCTAGTTCTATAGGCTACACAATCATGGGGAAGACTGCTGACTTGACAGTTGTCCAAAAGACGACCATCGACACCTTGCACAAGGAGGGCAAGACACAAAAGGTCATCGCTAAAGAGGCTGGCTGTTCACAGAGCTCAGTGTCCAAGCACATTAATAGAGAGGCGAAGGGAAGGAAAAGATGTGGTCGAAAAAAGTGTACAAGCAAGAGAGATAACCGCACCCTGGAGAGGATTGTGAAACAAAACCCATTCAAAAATGTGGGGGAGATTCACAAAGAGTGGACTGCAGCTGGAGTGAGTGCTTCAAGAACCACCACACACAGACGTATGAAAGACATGGGTTTCTGCTGTCGCATTCCTTGTGTCAAGCCACTCTTGAACCACAGACAGCGTCAGAAGCGTCTTGCCTGGGCTAAAGAGAAACAGGACTGGACTGCTGGTGAGTGGTCCAAAGTCATGTTCTCTGATGAAAGTAAATTTTGCATTTCCTTTGGAAATCAAGGTCCCAGAGTCTGGAGGAAAAGAAGAGAGGCACTTCATCCACGTTGCTTGAAGTCCAGTGTAAAGTTTCCACAGTCAGTGATGGTTTGGGGTGCCATGTCATCTGCTGGTGTTGGTCCATTGTGTTTTCTGAGGTCCAGGGTCAACGCAGCCACATACCAGGAAGTTTTAGAGCACTTCATGCTTCCTGCAGCTGACCAACTTTTTGGAGATGCAGATTTCATTTTCCAACAGGACTTGGCACCTGCACACAGTGCCAAAGCTACCAGTACCTGGTTGAAGGACCATGGTATCCCTGTTCTTAATTGGCCAGCAAACTCTCCTGACCTTAACCCCATAGAAAATCTATGGGGTATTGTGAAGAAGAAGATGCAATACACCAGACCCAACAATTCAGAAGAGCTAAAAGCCACTATTAGAGCAACCTGGGCTATCATAACACCTGAGCAGTGCCACAGACTGATCGACTCCATGCCACGCCGCATTGCTGCAGTAATACAGGCCAAAGGAGGCCCAACTAAATACTGAGTGCTGTACATGCTCATACTTTTCATGTTCATACTTTTCAGTTGGCCAACATTTCTAGAAATCCTTTGTTTTTATTGGTCTTCAGTAATATTCTAATTTTCTGATATGATGAATTTGAGATTTTCATTTGTTGTCATTTGTAATCATCAAAATTAAACAAAATAAACATCTGAAATATATGAGTTTGTATGTAATGTATGAATATAATATACAAGTTTCACTTTTTAAATGGAATTACTGAAATCAATCTACTTTTTCATGATATTCTAATTTTATGACCAGCACCTGTATAAATTAAAGTCGTTTCTTACCATCAAGCTCTGCAACCTTTGTGAGTGAGGGGTACTTCCAAATGACAATGCTGTTATGGGCGTATCCATGTGCAGAGACCAATTCTTTGTAATTGGGTGCGAACACAAGTGACGAAATCTGCAATTTAAGCAATTTGTTTTAAGCTCAGGAAAAATCATTATAAAAGCACACAGAACTTAAAGGGTTGAGGAAAGTGTGGTTACCTGGGACTGAGTGTCAAGTGAACTGAAACAGGAGCCAGAGTTCACGTTCCAGAGGCGTATATGACGGTCACTGGTGCCGCCACCAGAAGCAAGAACATTTGACTGCCACGGACACCAGGCCAAAGCCTGTCAAAAGAAATGCAAGATGCGATAAATTTACAATAGAGACCCAGAACATTCATTTGTGTCCATTGTAACAGACATTTTGCTCACCCTAATCTTTTACAATTTAGGATTAACTCATAATCCATTAATATACTCTTTAGAGAACACCCTGACCTTTTCAATGATGGGTCATGTGATATTTTTTCCTTAATTAGAATGGCTAGTAGAAAGTTAAGTTAAAAGATAAATGATAAACTTGATAAGAAATGACCAAATGTAAGGTGTTACATGGATTAGCACCTATTAAAATAGAAAGAGAGACTGGAAAACTAGTTTTAGCATGTATGAGTTATATAATTTAAGGTCATTTCATACAAACAATAAAAAAAAAATAAAATAGAAGAACTGGGGAAAAAAAGAAAAAAAAATTGAATTTTGCCCCTTAAAAATTTTTTTTTACAGAAGATCAAAAATTATTTGCCTTTTGTTAAAATGTAGAAAGCCAAATCTAAAAATCAGAAAAACAAATTTCTTAATTTTCAATGAAATGGACAAGCTCTAAATTCAAAATTAAAATGTATGTAAAAAAAAAAATTAATTTAATTTTTCTTTCATTTTGGCCTACATAGTTATGAAATCACATAAAGGAATTTAAAGTATTTTTCCCGCAGATCTCAGGAGGATGTTCAAGACATGCATTACGTGGCTTGCAAAACAGTGTATGGCATTCCGATTCTCATATTGTTCACATTAAATTCAGCTTGAATAAAATACAACTGTACCAGCACAACTTTTGGGTCACTTAAAGCCAAGTTTGGTCAATTATATGCATTTAGAGTTCTCCTGATGGGAACTATTATGCAAGATTTTAATTTTTTATTTTAACAATAAAAAAACTCCACTAAGTTTATGTAAGGGCTGGTAAAAAAACAACATTTATAGTTCATTAAAACACATACAGTGATATTTGCTAAATCTCAATGCCTACTAGCTCTGCTAGTATGGACTCACCTTGACTGCTCCTTGATGTTCGCTCCAGCTGCGGATGAACTGGCCCTCACCGTTAGAACCTCCCTCCTGAACACGGGGCCATAGACAAACCAAATTGTCATTGCCACCACTTGCCAGGTATCTCCCATCAGGTGACCATTTGAGGCCACAAACTTCCTGTGAATGGCCAGCAAGAGTGGAGATGTGATGGTTTGCCACCCTCACATCATGGTGGTGGATGTGTCCTGATCTGGAACCACTGGGGGAGGAAATAAATGCTTATATAAATAATGTTCTAGTTTAGTTCCACACATAAATTAGAGCAATCATACCTGGAAAGAATGTGATCATTCCAGCTTAGACTACCAACCCTAGCTGTGTGGCTAGCCATGCTGCGCAGGCGCTTCTGATTCTCGACATCCCACAACTAAATAGAAAGATGGATACATTTAGCTAGTAGGAACATTTACCAATATGGACTATAAGCACATGTACAAATATTTACCTGAACTTTGCTGTCACTGGTGCCAACAGCCAGGTAGCTTCCATCTTTGGTCCAAGACAAAGAGCATACGTAATCTTCATCACGCTCCAGCTTCATGAGGAGGAGGATATCTCCAGACGCGGCATTCCAGAGGTACACATGGTTATGAAGTGCCACGGCAACAAAATTTCGACTGCTCCAGTCAAGAAGATTTAGATCTGAAAGTTAGAAGGTATGTTAGTATGAAATATTTTTTTCTGGAAATCTTTAAGAATGAAAAATAAACAGATTTTGTATGGATTACAAAAATCATTTAGAAGTTCAGGCGCATCCAAGATCCTCTCTGGATTCGAAGAGATGTATCTGGTCTTTTTGAGAGAGGCAGGTGTCGTAACCTGACTGTAGAGGACTTTCAAGTTGTTCTGATAACCTTAGAAAAACACAAAATAAAAGTTGTGATCAGGAGATAAGCTGAGCGAAGTGAAATATTTCAACCTTAAAAGGGACAGTGCAGGTGCAGCTCTTACCCTCTGGCGCATTCAATGGCTTCCCTCCAAGATGCAGGATCTTTGCATCCTCAATGTTGTAACCATTTAGTGTCACAGACCAAGCTTTCTTGCTTTCCTTTAAACATAGGGGCGTGCATTAAAAAAAACAAAACAAGTGAAGGGTTTCAATTTGGTTTTTCAAGCCACTTACTGATGAGACAGTAGTTTTTCCATCATCTGGTTCATTTTCTTTTGTAAGCAGGAAGTTTGCGACGTCCATCTGTTTGTTATTCCTGATGGGTATGAAGCGATCGCCTCCCATCTTTGAGGGAGTCTTCTTGCCTTTACCTGTAGAAATCATCCCAGTTACAAATCTCCCTTAAACATTTCTACATAACTTCATTAATTTCATTATTTTACAGTATTTCAATCCCATATCAGCAAAAATGCTTTGGTCAGATTATATGGATTACCTGGTGTCTTGGTGGGTGTTTTGGAGCTCAGTGATACATTAGCAGATTTTCCAGGGGACAAAGCGCTGAGGCCAGAGGTGTTGGATGAGCTCGCCTTTCTCTGCCACCTCGCCATGGGAGCGTTTGTGATCGGCATGTCGAGCTTCAGGATGCTGTGAATGTCGTTCTCGAACCCAAACTGCGCCATCTTATCCACGTTTTAACAGACCTGAGCATCAACCAAAAACCAACAATAGTCAAACTTAATGCCGAAGCTGATGATCTTCGTTTGGAAATATGCCTCTAGGCTACGTGCTAATGCTAGCTCCAACTCCTAAACTTGCATTAGCTTCATCTTTAAAAATAACTTCAAAAGCTGAACAGTTACGCCTTAATAGTAATAGGGATAGTTTTGATACGTTTAAGAATTAATCTAAAAATATAATAAAAAAACGATACGGGGTTTTACATAATTAGCTTGTGTAGAACAGACGTGTCTTAAAAAAAAAAAGTCGAATCGAAAGCTGAGAGGCAACTTCGCACTTATTTGTATCTTCAGATAAAAAACACAGACATTCTAACCTCACCTCCAGCTGAAAACGTGGATTACTTGTTTGGAAGAATGACTCGACTTCTGCACGTCTCTGCTTCAGATTTGAATTTCTCAAATTTGTTGCGTCACGGTTTAAATCGCACGACGGGCTTCTGTGATTGGCTCATTCAAGACGCTGCCGTTAAATTAGTTTCGTTGCCACGATAGTGTAAGCACAAGCGTTATTCTCATTGGTGGTTGGTTTCTATATCCTGTGACGTTGACCTTCTTCTTCTTCTTCTTTCATGAGTGTGTAGCTCTATAGTTCCACCTACTATATTCTATTTTTATTTTTGTGTTATGTAAAAATAAAAACAATGCTTTATCAATAACCAAAATTTCCTCCCTATCTCCATCTGTCCCTAAAATACCTTTTTAATACTCCGACGTTGATCTCTCGGGGGATAAACAAAAAAAAAAAGAACCTCTCTAAAATTATGTCGCCACCTACTGGTTATTATTAAGTACGGAGTAAAATAGCCTATCTGTCTATAAAAACAGTGCGCATGGATTTCTAAATTTGAAAATGAAAGTCAATAATGCAAATAGATTTAAGAGTTGTGTTTGTCAATCAGAAATGTTCAGTTTTGAAATCTTATGCAGACCAGTTAGGTAGTTAGAAACTGCAAAAATCCAAGTACACATCACAAATTCCAGAATGTATGAGTATGAATCACTAATTTACAAGCAAAAGTCACACATTTACGAGTACAAATCACAGATTTACAATTATGAGTTACACATTTCTGTGTAAGACTTAGACATTTAGGAACATGAATTAAAAAATTTAGGAGCACAAATCATAAATGATCGAGTTTGAGTAATTCTAATTCTTAAATTTGTCTTATTGCAAAGTTTTTATTTTCTGTCTTGCATTCTTAACTTCTATAAATTGTATTCTCACAGATGATCAGAGGTCACATGTATCTAAGTGTTAACAATGAACAAACAAATCTAATCAAATGTATTTACATTATTGATCTTCATTTACAAAAGCAGACATTTATGCATAGGTTTTAATGACAGCTGTCTTACCAAACAGCTATGGTTCTAGAATTAGATTATGATTGCACATAATAACATTAGATAAAGGGTTAAAACAACAAAAAACATATTTTTATAATTTATATAAAAAAGTTTATATTTAGAATATTTAAATTATTGAATGTACAATCACATTTAAACACCCAATACATTTCTGATGTTTTTGCCATAAATTTCCTATTTTGGTTATAATTTTTAAAAATCATAATTTTAAAAGAAAATCACAGGAATGTATGTCACAGTTACACTGTTGAGCAAAAAGGAGATATTGGATTTAAAACCCAGCGGTGCCTTTCTGGGGTTTTGGGACCCAGCGGATTGCAAGTTCCTGGTTTGAAACCAAGGCATCCTGAGCAAGATCCCAGATCTCAAGGGGATGGGTTAAATCTTAATCCTAATGTTGCAAGACAGACACAGATCATTACCAAATTCTTTACTTCTGTTTTTTTTTTTTTTTTTTTTTTTTTTGTGGAAAAAAAAATCCTCACTTTCAAATGAGTTCATCATGTCCACCCTTTATACTTTATTTCAGTTAAAATGTCTCAAAGAATTGTGATGCATTTTCTGGTTATGATTATATAGCTCAAGAACTCCCTAGATCAGTTTTGCAGTTTAACTTGTATATGAATGGTCCCAGATTCCTCAACAGCATTGTTTACCTTTTCAGTGCTATTGAAATAAAAATCAGCATGTCAGCAAAGAGGAGGACAAAAATTTCCTGGTAGGCTTAGACAAACTTTGTTGTTTGATATACACAGAGAGTATACAAAACGAAATTTCGTTTTGTACAGCTCTCATGACATTTCTATTTCTTAAAGTGCCAGCAGTGGTCAAAAGTAAACATTGAGATAAAAAAAAAAAACATGTTGCAAAAAACACATTGATATGGTAGACGGCTGTCCTTACTTTAGTCTTGATTAAACACAGTGGATCAAAAACCAGCAGATATCATTCCACAAATCTCACCAACTTCATACTGCTAGTGTTCTCAAGGAGTAGAGTGGAAAACAGTGTAAATAATAAGAAATGTAGCAGAGATATCGGATGTGTATGATATATCTGTGCCTTTGAATCACCTGTGAACAAATTTTAAATAGGCTTTGTTTTTAGTAACTCCTGTAAGGATGCAATGAACATTCCTGAATCAAATTCCTTTTGGGGGATTATATAATGACTGAGATGCTGGATCGGTGGATGTTTTAGATCTACAAAAACATAAAGTCATTGTAATAAAAGTTTTAAATATATAACTAAGGAATCTATATGTGAGGTTTGGCATTTAAATCCAGTTGTTTGAATAAATACACTTTTTATTCATATTAATATATCACCTAAGGAGGGCTTTGGAGTTTAAACTATTTTTCATTAAAAAAAATTATATATACACATGTGTATATATATATATATATATATATATATATATACACATACACACACACATATATATACATATATACACACACACATACACACATATATATACACATATATACACACACACACATACACACATATATATACATATATACACACACACACATATACACACACACACATACATACACACATATATATATACACACACACACCTGGCCCCTGTGATGCTTTTTTTCCAACTTTTTCTTAAATACATGAATTATCTTGAAAAACCCAGATGTTTTAATTATTTCTACCTATTACATGGTCTCAAATTCATGTAAGTTTACAGCACCCTTGTGCACCTCTACATTGTCAACCATTGTCCAAGTCAACCTACATTTACCTAAAATGCACTCACAAAAGAAATCCTGCATAAATTATTAACTTTTCATTTGAACTCTGAAAGTTTTTTCTTGCTCATAAACTACTTTTTATAGAATATTCCTGCTGAAAGACAGATTTTTTTCCAACTATGCACAAATCATTAGCCTTGTTTCAAACCTAAAGAAGCAGCCACAGTGTTATAAGAGTTTTGCCTAATAAATATGAAGTATTTTTGTTTAAATATAATTCCCAGTTAAACTATAGGGTGATTCCCACCATCAATAATTTATAATCAATTATGATGTATATGTTAATAGGAACGTTATTTGGAGTTTGATCAGATTTACAGCATTTTTATAATGCTGCAGACTTTAGTAACAACAATAAACCATTATTTGATAAATACTGACAGAGCTGTGATTAATTAATGATTTAAGAGTGTTGTCAGGGACAAACCAGGTTTTGGTGTAAAAAATTTATTAGTTTGGACAATAATTTCACAAATGATCAGTTTACCAAGCACCTCTGTTACTTTTTCTAAAAGTATGCTATACGATAAACAGAGCATACAGAAAACAAACAAAAATAGAGAAAAATACAAATAAACAAAACAAAGAAACAACATTTACAAACAATATGCTACAACCATTTATTCATAAGCCTTTGAGTCACAGTGTACTGTAAGAACCTTTCTTTGTAGGAGCAGTGTCAGTCATATCCTTGGGGTAATGGATAATGGAGCCAATTACACCTATGATACAAAAAAAAATTCTTCATTAAAGAGCAAGAGATTGACACAAAAAGAAGAGCCTTCCAAGCAGTTTTCATTATTCTATCCACACTAGTTTAATGTTAATTATCAAAAAATCAGCAAAGACAAGTGAGGTCAGATTGCGAATATATAATTTGGATGGAGAAGAAAAAACACATGACAGACCCACAATCATCAAGTAGAACATACTCGTCCAAAGGCTATGTAGTTTATTTAATATTTAACTTTTTTATCAATCTTTTCCTAAGACTTTCAGCTGAAGCTTTCAAAAACTCGAGAAAACAGTAGAAGTGTTGTTGTTCTTACCTCCAGGGTTTCTTAGACCTAAACAGATTGTAAACAAAGAAAAAGCACATGATATTACTTTTTTTTTTTACTATGGGATGCCATACTGACTAGACATGTCAAATCAGGGTGTTAAGATAAAAGCATGTCGGCATAAGCAGAAAATATGGAACACCAATAGGATTTTTCTCCCTGAAGCAACGTTTAGCGATTTAAAAGTAAAAAAAAAAAAAAAAAAAAAGCTGTTGCTTACCTGGGCTTCTGGAGAGAAGAATGGTCATTATAATAAGCATTAAAAAAGCAGTCACAGCCAAAATAGGAACCAAATATCTGGGCAGAGGAACTTCTTGAGCTAAAGAAAGGAAGAAAAACAACATTTCACACATCTATGTTTTGACTGTAAACAACATATTGACAGACTATCTGCTCCAAGATCTGTTCACCATATCACGCATTAATGTATTTGGATCACCAGACTGTTGTACAACAATAGTGCCTTTTGTTAGAGGTTTCTTAGGAGCAGGTTTAAGAGAAATCACTGCAGAAGATCTGCCCTTCCCACAGCCATCAGTATCCACAACTATTTGAATCAAAAAATATTTGATTTATATTATTAATTTTCTCTTTGGTATTAAATTCAGTGGTAGATTATAGTTGTTGTGTGTAATTCTGTCATCTTACTGTTGTAAAACATTGACTTTTAATCAAACAGAACCATTGAATTTGATAAATGAAGTGACATCATCAAAAGGCGAACTGTTGTGGGAAGTTTAGTGATACTAAAAACATTTGGCCCAGAACCATATTGTTTAAAAGAAAATCCAGACAGATACTAAAAAGTTTTATCTTTGAAATATGTCAGAAATAAAATGTAAAAATAGAAAAGATCTCAAAAAATATTTCAGCAAGCTGGAATTAAGCCAATATAAACAATATTGGTGAACCTCACAGACCTAAATTAGTGCATGGGATTTAATGTAGACATTTAGAAGAAAAGGGGCAATGCGTTTGCTTTTTATAAGCAATATGTAGCCATGTGTATATAGTAGACTTTGATAAGTTGTATACATTAGCTGTCAGAGAGATTATTCAACACTCCCCCAAAAAAGACATTCACAAAATATAAAAAAAGATCACAAAATTTTACCCAAACCTCATGGGAAGATCCATCTTTTTGATCACCTGGTAAACTTTTATCTTCACATTAATTAGATGGGAAACCAATAAAAAACGCATTCTTAAGGTTTTTATGAAATGCCGGAAAAATATATCGATACCTGACTGTTCCTCTGAAAGCTTCAGCTCCTTCATCAGCTTTGTGCATCCCTCCTGCAGGTGTCTCCTCTCCATCTGCGAGTGCTCCTGGTTCCATAGCTGTCTTAGAGCTGTTGCCTCTGGTACATGGGCTGCCCAGGTGTCGTTGTGCTCAAGGGTGAGAAAAACCTTGCCATTGTAAAACACCCGGTCAGCCCAGTGGAGCCGCGACCCCTCTATGATGCATTCCCGAGACCGAAGAATGGTATGATTGTCTAAGGGCAGAGTGTAACAAATATAGATAACCAAACTGTGTTTGGACAAAAAAAAATAAATAAAAAAAGAATTCTGCTGCTCTTACTCAGAGCTGTAGTTGGATTGTTGTCAATTCCAGCTGGTAGAAGGGCATGGGTAAAGATGCTTTTAATAATACTTTTGACCTCTTGGTTTGGGTTTAAGAGAGAGACTCCATTGAGCAGAACTTGCTCTGTGACATGCTGGTGTCCCACCACTCCCCATTGCTGGATCTGTACTATGATGGCATCTAGAAGGACATTAGAAAGATGGTGAAAATTTACATTGTTCAAACAGTACACTATTTTATTTGTTTATTTTCTAATTTTTAATTTATTTTTATGATAGTTTTATTTTTTTATTTGTTGTTTTAACTCTTTACACTTATGTTATTCTACATTTTTCTAAGATCTACATTAGTGTGGCCATTTTTTCTATAATCTTTTTGCTACTGTAAGCACCAGAATTTCTCTAATGTGGTACAATAAAGCGATTTTCTATTCGATTCTTTTCTATTCTACAAAAAGAGGAAAATGTGATACCTGCATTACAATAAAAGCACATGTTGAAAAACATAATTTATTTTATGTTGCCAATATTACATTATATTATAAGCAGTATTGGCAAAAAAATAAAAATAAAATTTAAATATTTTATTATGATCTAAGACACACATTTTACTATAGTTTAAGTTGTTGCTGAAAAACAAAAGTAAAACCAAAAGCAAAATCCCTGATGATATACGACTAATAGTCTGGAAAGTTGCGAAGCTCCTCCTTGTTTTTTTTATTTTTATTTTTTTTATTTCAGTCCGCCCAAACATCTATGTGCCTTGTATCTATGTTGTTGATAATAACCTGCCCCTGTTATTGGGTGGATTTTGTCAAATGTGGCGCTGTTGAAACTAAACTTAAAGTAATGAAAACAAACACACCGTGTCAAATATTTTGACACCCCGACAACCTGATTTCACTGGTTTACTAACGTATAAATTTGTTCCATTCCAGTTGATCAGGTTTTAAGACACTATTCCTGTTTATTCTCATAACGGAATAGAAACAGATATAAAGTTTCTTACCTACGTGAAGAGGAATAGCGCTCGATAAATGAGTGAGAACAACCAAAACAAATCCAAACAAGCTCATATCTGCGACTGCAGTCCGTTAAAGTCTTGAACTCAGCGAAATGTCAACACCTAATGACTTCTCCCAGTTTAAAGACACTCAGGAAGATTGTTTTAGACCATTTAAGAAGAGCCCACAGCATTTCCCCAACACATCAACTGCAGCCTTTAAAAGACGCAGATTGCAGCTTGACAGGACTGGTCGCTCCACGCCCATTTTCTTCTGCAGGAGGATATGGTGATTGACAGCCTCTGATTGGCTCCCTGCACTGCTGAACTCTTCACAGGTGTAGCTGTAAATACCAGGTTTACCTGGTTTGGAACAGCACAAAATAACTTAAAAATATAATTGAATTTTATTGATCTCACAATGCATTTAATCCACCCCCTTGGGGAGCAGTGGGCTGCCATTGACAATGCCATTGGTTCTCACAATCTTCTCAGAGCACAAGCGCACTGCTCTAACCACTAGGGCAACACTCCCCAAACTCTCTAACTTAAAGTCCCCCTGGATTTTACTTCCAACTAGGGAAACCAAAGGTTTCTTGATACCGCTTACCTTAATATCTAACATGGATGCGTTCTAAGTGATAGCTATGTTTTTGGTATTTAAATATTCTTTAGGATTTGTGTTCAGTTTAGATATATATAAGGAAGAAATAGATATTTCCAATATGTGTAAACGGCAGAGTTTTTGTTATTGGCTTAGAAAGAAGAAATAAAAAATTAACCTCATATGAAATAGTTTTTAGTGGTTCTGTAATGTCTGCTGTATGGAGGACCAACTCTGCCATATTTAAAAATAAATACATAAATAAATAAATGCTCAATAAATATATAAACATACAATTAATTGCCAACAAAAATACAATAAACAAATAAATGTAAGTAGAAATTAAATTATAAAGTGAGACATAAATGTATATAAGTCTTAATTAGCTTCTTTATTTATTTGCCTTTGTAATATTTACATTATTTATGTATTTTTGTTGGCAATATAAAATATAAGTAATTAAAAAATAAAGATGAAGAATATAAAGGACAAAAAAATAAATAACGTAAATATTACAAAGGCAAATAAATAAAGAAGCTAATTAAGAGTTATATACATTTATGTCTCACTTTTTAATTTTATTTTCTACTTACATTTATTTGTTTATTGTATTTTTGTTGCCAATTAATTGTATGCTTATATATTTATTGAGCATTTATTTATATATGTATTTATTTTTAAATATGGCAGAGTTGGTCCTCCATACTGCGGGGGACAGAGGTTAAAACAGGTGATCAGCAGGGTTTGCTGAGTCCTTCAAAAAGTATGCCTCCTGCAGGCAGCTATAGGTGACAGTGTTTACCAGGGCTGCTAGATGTGGGTTGGTCATCTGTCCTTTGTTTTTGACTCCCTGCAAAGCATTTTAATTGGCTCCTTGTCTATTTCCATAGCACGATATATCAGAGCAGGTATTTGTTGTTGTTTACACTCACATCAATTTTGTTTCTCTTAAATCCTTCAGACATAGAGGACTTTTCATCCTCCTTTTTTGGATTTATTTTTGGTCTTTTAAACTCACCATTTGCGTATTTTGCCAATAGAATCCTGATCACCATATGTGCGTGTAAGATCCACACATGAACAGCACAAGATCAATTAATGCACATAATAATTCAAACAAGCACATAAAATTGACTTATTCACAAGACAAGATATCCTGATTTATAAACTACCAGTGTTCTTTGTACTCCATCTGTGTGTTTATTTTTTTTTAACTGATCTGACTTGACTTGATGCTATGATTTGCAATAAATTAGTTAACTTCATTATTTTAGCCAATCACAAGAATATATACAACTAATTGATGGAAGAGTAGCACCTTGCTATATCTGGAGGGGGAGCGGTGGCCTAATGGTTAGAACATTGTGTTTGGGTGCCGGAGGTTTTTAGTTCAAGCCCCACTCCTGCAGACTGCGACTCTAGCTCCTTGCGAAGACCCTTAACCCCACACTGCTCCCTGGGCGCCACACATGGCAGCCCACTGCTCCCCAAGGGGATCGGTTAAATGCAGAGGTAAATTTCTCCAGTGTGAGATCAATAAAGTTAAATTATTATTATGATCTCCTACTGTCAGCTCTCTTTGCTACAGAGTGGGGTACAGTCCGTGTACTCTGTCTTGCTCTGGCGCACTCTCTATTGGAGGAGGATAACAGAGTTTGATCAGAGTGCAGAGTGGTCCAGCGGTCAGCTCTGGAACCTACATGAGGAGGACGAATAATAAATAATTTCTTTTAAAAGCCTTCCACAAACCTCTAAATATCATTCATTACTTCATCAAGATTTTCTGTCTTTGATTGAAAAAAGCTTTGTTTCCACTGCACTCTTCTCCTTATCTAATTTATTACTTTATTGTTTTTTTAATGTGGAACTGTTTTGTATTTAATATAATGTTCTAAAACATTTATCTTAATAAACTTGAAACAACAGTGACCAAAGTAGATTTTAAAATAAAAACACAAACAAAAACAGAACATGGAAAATGGCAGCTGGAGCAGGATATCTCGTGCAAATATGGTATGGGTCTGACATGCGGTCAGTCTTCACCTCTTTCTTTCTGCAACATCCTACTTTTCCATACAGCAACATTATCACCCATGTGGTATATGTTCTTGTGATTGGCTGTAACAAATGAGTCAAGTAAGCTATAATCATAGCTTGTTAAAAAAAAAGACCACTGGTAGTTTATAGATACAGATATGATTATGTTTACATCACAAATAGAGTGAATTGTGAATCTAGTGTTTTGAATATGTACATTTTATGTGCTTGTTTTAACCATTATATGCACATGTGGATCTTTATCCTTTGCTTTTGTGGATCACATTTTTGAGTTTGTGAATATTGAGGCTCTCCTACCTCCATAGATGAGCTATCTTTAGAAATCTGAAAATTGTATCCAATGATGAACCAGACTTGTAAAGGTACGCAGTTCCTTTTCCATAGATCTAAGCTTGTTTTTGTTTTTTTCCCCATGATGTCACAGAAGAAGAAGCTGTGAAGGCGTACCTCCAATGAACTCAAATGTACTGAATAATTCAGTTTCGGAGGCTCACAAAGCTCTAATATATTCACCTAGGCTTCCCAGATTTGTTTAAACGCAAACCATTGTAAGACGTCTTTGAATACCCAAAACATCTGACCCAGTTCAAGGAGTAAAAGACAGTCCTAGAATTATAATAATAATATAAATAAAAATATTAATATCATTAATATTAAGGTAGTGTGTGTAACCTTGTGAATTTGATTATCTTTATTAGTCAGGTAATAGAATTACTGAAGATGGGTAACTGGTGGCGAGACGTAAGCTTAGTTAGTTAGTGACCACTTACACCATAATAAACTTTCATGCTTTTCTTTTTGATAAAGCTTATAGTTAGAGTGGCTCGGGTTATCCTGAGCTATCTCTATAGTTATGCTACTATAGGCTTAGACTGCTGGAGGACATAGGGACCCCTTTTTCATCATTCTGCTTCCTTCTATCTATATTCTCCCAATCTGCAGAATTTGCTAGTTCAATCTCCTGTTTGGCTGTGATTCCATCCTGGAGAGAAATATCAGCTGTGCTGCTGCCATCAATACCTTTGTTTATAGATTGTGGAGCTTAGCCTGTTTTTAGGTGTAGTCCTGTTTCTCTGACTGTGACTAACTAGATGTGCTCTCTTCATCCTCTGACATAGGAGCTGGCTAGGAGCTTGTCTTTCTTGCTATGTGTTTCCTGGAAGGGGCCGCCTGTGGAGCTGACTGCCAGTTGCCTTTTGTATCTCTGATTCTTTCTGTATGTCTGCCAGCAAGACGAGAAAGGCAACTTCATAGATGACTCAGAACGACAAAATAAAGGCTTCTGTTTTAATTTATACAATCATTATTATTTATACTGTATACAACATGTATCCCTCTACATATTTAATACATTTATTCTTTTTAACTACCAGTGTTTGTGCCAATCCACAGCAAGTTGTATTCCAGGGTGTGAGCTACATCTACCAAATAAAACCCATCTAAAAGAGCCTCAGAATTAAAATATATTACAGGACCAAAAAAATCTCATTAAGTGAGAAAAGCCCTTTTTTTCTACCAAGCCCAGCAAACCGGTCACAGAATTGTTGACGCAAATGAAAGCACCAAATGGAAAATAATCATAAAGATAATCTTTAACACAAGGCTTTGTTTAAAGTGAAAAGACAATGCTGACTACTACAGTTCTGTTCAGCAAAGGTTCAGCTATGATTAACAATTGTTAGAATCCTCTTGTCCACATCAATTCTTTTGATGACTGTAAGAGTTTGGACCTTGTGCGGGCGTGTTCTAAAATGGGAAGCTATGCAGATGGGAAGTGACTGTATAAACAAACTTCTGTGAGGGAACAGAGTGCAGTTTTTCTTGGAGCTCACTACTTCATGTTTATGTAAATTAGTAAATCTCTTGTTCTAGTTTAACATTGCAGACCACAACAGTTTATCTTATCAAAGCTATTGCTGCACAGCTCTTCTAGTTTTAAACTGAGCAGAGGGAAATGCTACATTTAGAGATATACCCATATAAAAAAGCCACTTTTAACTTATAAAATAGCCATTACTCTAAATTGTCTTGTATTTCTAGAATGAGTCTAGCAAAATGGAGCACAGTTTGAACAGAAATAATCAACTCTTAATAGAGATTTGGCATCAAGAGGAAAACAGCATGTTCTGTGGACAAGATAATTGTATCATGTCAAGTATAAATCAGTCTCTCTTTGGGATTAAGTCAAGTCAACATGATAAATGAAGACAGAACTGGATAGTGGGTAGGGATAAAAATACTGGGGGGAAGGGAAATTTGAGATGGTGATTAAAATAAATAAAGCACATTTAACAATAATGTGATCTTTCTTAGAGCAATATCTGCTAATCATTTGGAAACTATGTTTTTGTAGGTTTTCCTGACCGGAACTTTTGTAAACATAAAGATTAGTAGATGTTAATACCCCTGAATCTAATTTCCAAACCACACTTCCTGTACAAGATAGTGCCAAGCGTTTTGTTTGTTCATAACAACAACTCTAATCTCTACTGTAAATAAGGTATTGTCAGATAAACTCGTGTCACAAAGATAAGAGGGAAAGACGCAGGAAATGTATTCCCTAAGAAATAAAGATATGTTATTTTTT